AAACCTACATTATTATCTTCTTTGTGTCTGAGGGAGAGAATCGCTTGGATGGGAACATCACCGTGGTTCTAATCACGACCTCAATAATACAACCAATCCTGAGGACTTATGCCTCAAGTTTTCTTTCTCTGCAGGCCAGGTATATTCAGAGTTTTGGTGGTAATGGTGTTTAGATATAAGACATTATTTACGTTTGCTGTGGTCATGTGAAAAAAGATATTAACACTGTAGCACTGATTGGGTCTCAGTAGTTGTTTGTGTGTTACCAGGCATGTATTTATTGAGCAGCTGGTAAGTGCAAGAGGCTGTGAAAAATAAACATGTGACGAAGACATTGACTTTGCCCTCAAGGAATTTACAGTCTTGTTAGGGAGATAATACACGCCCACAAACACCATAAAAAGGAGACAGAGTAAAGAGCTGTGGGGAAGAGCTACAGAGAGCTTGACAAGAATTCAAAGGAAGGACTGCTCCCTTCCCACGGCGAGGGGTAAAGAGTAGCCTTGAGATTGGCTTTGCACATAAGGAGATGAGAAAGGGTAGTCTAAGTGGAGGATACAGGGGGAAAAATGCAAACAAACAAAAATACCCAGGGAACTGGTCACAGATTCATTTGGCCAGTTGCCTGGCGGGGAATATAGCAGGAGGCCATGGACTAGCTGAGGGTAGGAGGGATTTGCCTGGCTGCAAGATAGGCAGTAGCAGAAAGTAAGGGCACGCCCCTGCGTGGTGGCCACTGCTGGTAACTTTGGCTGTGTGGGCAGGGAGCAGGGAGTCTGTTCTGCAGACACTGGGGAGCCGCTGCAAGTGAGCAGGGAGTGCCATTAGACCTATGCTCTGGGACAATTGAGTTGGTGTCCTGGGTTGAAGGGATTGGAGCCGGGGAGTCCACTTAGGAGGCCAGTTGGGAAAAAGGAGGCAATGGTTTTAGCAACCAGTGTACTTATAAGTGGAGGCATTTGGAATAGCCTTATGGTTTTGGAATGAGCAATTTCTCCTCAGTGGATATTTTTGTTTGAATATAGTAGTTTGAAAATGCTCTTATATGCCACATAGATCTAGTAAGATAAATGATCTGGAATGAGGATCTGTGTGTATGCTTGGGATCCTTCTCTGGGATCTGTCTTAATCGAGTGCGTCTCAAACCCTAGTGCGCTTAAGGATCACCTCTGGTGCCCTCGTTAGAATTTTAGATTCTGTAGTGCTGGGTGTGGCCCCGGAATCAGCACATATCCTGTGTACAGGGCCATTCTGATGCAGGGGGTATGGCGCTGACACTTTGAGAAATACTGTGACAGACCTCGCTGAGGGTCAAAGGGCATGTATCTCTGCCCACAAGTGACCTGCCCATTAAGCAGGAGAAATCGGGAAATGTGTGAAGGGACCAGAGCTCCTACCGTGGTCTGATGACTATGGTGGCTATCTTCTATACCTTCTCTCATTTCATCCTCAAAATTTCTGAGGAGGGGAATTCTTTTTTCCTTGCCTTTTGGTAGGCCTGTGAATATTTTTCAGGAGCAGAGCTTCCAATATGCTTCCAATAAGGATGTGGGGGAATTAAGCAAAGGCACAAGAAATGGAGTTGCCATGGTTTTGGTCTGGTCCCAAGGCCCCTCTATAACTAAGAAACTCTCGAGAGAATTGTTAACTTCCCAAGTGTCCACGTTTAATCAAATTTGAATAAGGAGAAAGCCCTTCCTTGAAGATATAGATTTAGCTTGAGGTTACCCTTCTCTTTTGTCCTACCTGTCTGCCTAGGTGTGTACTGAGAAAGGAGTGACATCTCCTCTTCATCCCTGCACCTATCACTCTCCATTGCTCTCACTGCCAAGCTCTCATCACTGGACATTTACTCGTGACTCAACAGAGGCCACGTGCTAAGCAAGACATGGCAGTGCTGTGTGGCCAATTTGGCTTAGCCATCTCCCCACTGCAGGTCAATTGTGGTCCCCTGAAATGGTGCCAGCAAGCTTCGTGCTGTACTCATGTCACACTTTTGGACACTCCTTGGTGGTAGAGGCCAGATCAATTCCTTCTGCTCTCACCACGCATGGCCATCAAACAGTGCCCTATGCCCAGTGGGTTTCACCAACTGACATTCTGTGGTGGGGATATTGGTGAAAATGTTTGATTTCCAGTCCCTACTTCCCAGTGTTTTGCTATGCACGGAGTTCTCATTGTTTGCATTTAGGAGCTGTCAGCAACTGCAGGATCCATCCATGTCTAAGGATGAGGCCAAATAAAGCAGCTATTTCCAATTTTCTTTAAAACATATATTCTAGTCTTCCAGTGTAGACATCGCCATAAGGTGGGAATACCTTTAATAGAATGGATTGTGACCAATTAGCTCATGGAATCAAGAGAAGGATAAAAATTTAATCTTTTTACATATGTGTGCCTTAATATACACTGGCTAGATAGATCTTTTATCATTTTTTAAAGACTTCAGGTATGATCTGTCATGAAAATAACCCTGCATTGGTATAAAGTATCTGGTTTTTATGATTTTTTTGGTTTGTTTTACTTAATTAAAAAGTAAGGCCCATACCTCTAAGGAAACTTTTAGAGGTCATCTGATTTGTCCTCATAATATAAAGATTAACTATTCTAGACAAATGAAAGCGTAATTTGCTTTCAAATGCGTTGTGAGGAATAGATTGCACAACCTTGAGGGTGGGGCTGTGTCAATTATTTCTGTATTTCCTTCCTTACCTGGAAATAGCATAGGCTCAATGAATACTCATCAAATAAATGAATGAGCTTTTATTGGAAATGCATTTAATTGGCTAGCAAGTAAGTTCTGAACACATATTTGTGGAGTGAATGCCTAGATGAAGGAATGGACAGACAAGCCACTAGGAAGTTTTCCAGTATGGCTAAGGTGATTTTCGCATGTTGCAGATAAAATCAGTTTCTTCTTATTCAGTTTTCAGAGCGTAAGTGAGTTCCTTCAACTGTTCCCACCCCCTCTGTATTTGAAGGAACTTATGAATTCTTCCCTCAGTCCACTCTTCTTTTGGCTGAATAATCACAGCCTCATTTACCTTTCCTCATAGGTCCATCTTTCCAGGGCTGTACGAGTCTCTGTGGCTCTCTGATCCCCGAGTGCATCATAATCCTCTCTCTGTTGTGGATCCCAGGCCTGAATATGCCAAAGTGAGATTTACAGAGGATTAGTGAGCATTTTGCATCTAAACCTGGATGATGACTATCACAGACTTCATTAGTGGATAAAGAAAACCGTAAGACAATGGAGGTTTTGTTGGATTTGTGATGAGTTTTTTCAAAATCTGGTTTGACCACTCTTTCCTCTTTCTTTCCCAGCTGCTATTTCTAGAACTCACAGTTGTGATTAGACAGCATCAGAAAAGGAAGCTGCTGCGTTTCCCTCTTGGTTATTGAAAATGATATGCTTAATAGTTTATTAAGCATTTTCAGATAGCTTCCTCCAAGAACTGGAGAAAGATTTCCCCTCCCCCGTATAATTCTGTGACTCCAGAATTGTCCTTTAGCTAGAAAATATTGATTTACTATTGTTTAGCCCCCAATGGATTGCTTCTTATCTCCAGGAGTGGAATTTTGTTAGAATGAGAGTCGACAGAATTCAGATTTAGCCAAGTGAAGTGTGTCAGGGTCGGTATAATGTTAAAGATTGAGAACAAATGGGATATTAACCCGGGAAATTTTGTGTGGATATTGTGAAAATAAGTTATATCAGGAATCAGGCCCTTCATGGTGTACATTTGCAGAAGATAATTATTTAAATGCTCAAGTCTCCTTGTGGAGGGAGGGAACTGATTTCCATGGATTGGTTTATACAGGTTAAGTCATAAAGAAGCCTAAAATGGAAAACAGTCTAAATTTCCAACAGCAAGAGAAGAATTGCATTAAGTTTGGTACATACATATACTGGATGATAATTTTTCTTTTCTGTGCTTTTTTGAAATTTCCCGTTTTCTTTTACAATTATGCTGTGTTACTTTTATACATGCTCATATAATAAATGAGTTCTGTGAGTCCTTCTAATGAATCATCGTACCTGATGTTGGTCTTGGCGACCCCTCACACAAGCACATATACTCTAGATCACAGAGTCTCGGGGAAGACCAGGGTTGAACTGCAGTGTGAAGACCCCAGATCTATGCCCTTGCCCGATGTGCGCCAGCTCCGATTTGATGGAAGGCTGGAACTGGCTGTTTGGCTCCCTTGTAGGAAGGGTCTTCACAGGCCAGATGAGAGGGGGATCCCAAGGCCCTGGCCGGGGCAGGCTGCACTGCCGACTGGGGCCTCTGTGTGCCTGGGGAGGCTCCTGGTCAATCTCCCCTTCCCGTGGAGGCAGACGCGTGGGTACTTCTGCCAGGTTTTCCTTTACCAGGCCAGCAGAGCAAAGGCGGGACCTCTAATTGCATTTCGTTCTCAGTGTGTTCTGAGCGGTGTTCCTGAACGGCCCGCTATGCTCGTTGGTCTGCTCACTTGACTGTTTTGTTTTTGAGTAGAGGGACCGAGTTTAATATTACAACACGAGTCTTGGCTTCATTGCACAGAAGCCTTTGCATGAATGAAGAAGTCAAATCTGGGAGAATGGAAGGCTTTCTGGCTTTCGATTTTTCTCTAACGTGTTTTGTTCAAAGCTTGTTTACCTCCGGATATGGAAATCGGGGACATCCCTTACTTATTGCCTCTGCAGTGATGACGCCTAAGTCAGTCAGGACTCCAGCTCCATTCTGAGTATTTGCTGCTTTGTGTTAGGTAAAGCAAAACAGTACGAAATGAGACGTTTTCCCACCAATAGTTTGGTCCTGGTGGTGGGACAGGGAATTGCAACAAAGACCTGACATCTCGTGGGATTTAAAAAATGCTCAGAGTGGTTTCCCTTTATGGCAGAATACATTCTTTGAGGATTAAAAAAGAGGAGACTCTTCTGTGGCCTCTCTCATGTGTGTGTGATTTTTAAATTGAACTATAAATTAACACACAATGAAATGCACAGATCTTAGGTGTTCGGTTCAATGAGTTTTGACAAATGCATATCACCAGGTAACTACCACCCAAAACAAGAATTAGACTGGCTCTGCCCAACAGCAATCCAATGGAAGCCACGTATACGATTTAAAGTTTTCTGGTTGCCACATTAGAAAAAGGAAAAAGAAACAGGTGATATTAATTTTAATACTATAATTCTAACCCAGTGTATTTAAAACATTATTATTTCAACAATGAAACACATTCAACAATGTGTAGAATTCCTATTTTACACATTTTTGGTAACAAATCTTTGAAACTTGGTATATTGTTTACACTTAAAACAAATCTTAACCCAGATGTTAACTTTTACAGAAGCATTGTAGTAAAATACATATAACGTAAAATTTGCTGTGGTCTTCTCTGAAAGGAGTATGACAAAGTGCTTGAGCTGAATGAGTAGGGGCTGCTCAAACAGACCGCTCTCCTGGCTTTCCATCTTCCAGTGACTCGGAATTCTGGATCCCTGTGGACAGAAGGCAGACAAGTCCTTCTGTGACATGATCAGAAGGCCCAAACTGTACCTGAGCCCCAGGCTATGCCCTCAAACCATTATTTCTTGTTTATTCGTTTCTTCCCCACCCCCAACTTCCTTCCACTCGTGTCACTGAGTCCTTGCCAAGTGCAGAGCATCTCCAGAGGGCTGGCAAGAGAAGGATGATGACATTGCCCTGGTCCTGGAGCAGCTCACAACCCAGTGGAAGAAGATACTTCCAAGCACCATTTCAGAGAAATGTGACACAGCCCTTAGATTAGAGGAAGCTTCTGGAAGATGAGGCCTAACCTTTAAAGCATGGTGAGAAGTTGAAGAGCAATGAAGGGATGAGCAGAAAGAACAGGGACTAAGAATGAATTAATAGACTGATGGTCACCATTTATAGGCCGTGTCACCTTGGGCCATTGCTCCACATCTTTAGGCCTCTTTTCTATCATATATGAAACAGTGGTAATGATACCTACCTAGCAGAGCCGTCAAAAACTCAAACAAAAAGCAATTATTAAAAAATCTATTGCAATGATTGGCTCATTCATTCAACAAATACTTTAAAACACCTACTATGTGCCAGGTGCTAGGCTAGTTGCAGGGGATAGAGCAGCAGCATCTGTATCCTCCCAAAGCTTGATGTCTGTATGAGGGGCTTCATTAAGAGCAGTTCTTTTATCAAGAGGAGAGGCAGACGTGAGAAAGGCCGTGGTGCAGTTGGGGAAGGGGGAGAGGGTTAGTGCAAGTTTACACGTGCCTGCTGGGAGTGGGGATTGGGGATTAGTGGAGGGAGATGAGATTAGAGGGGTAGAATGGGGCCTCCATCAGCATCTCACTCCTGCTGAAAACATTTTGAAAATCTTCAGTGTCTACCAGTATTTGAGATTATTCAAGTATTTAAATAAAAGCAGAATAGACTACTCTCTTGTGGGGATAACGGGTGACACTTTGGTTTAATTTGCTTTTGCCACATTTTACCATCTAGACTTCATACTCTCTGAGATTACAGACCATGCTGTTCTGAATCTTTCACCCTACTTACTCCTATACTGATTCATTTCCCAGTGCTGCCCAGACTTAGGTGTTTACTGACTTCACTGAATGCATAGCCCCTGGCATCAGGCCTGGCACATGATGTTTGCTCCATGGATGTGTGTTGAGTGGCTCGAGGGGCAAACGGATGGACTGATGCCCATGACCATCAGCAGAGTCACTCTGGCTCTTCCAGGGCCCTCTGCTAAGTCAAACCCTGCAGAGGAGAAGCATCTTGCTGCCCAACAGAAGGATCCCTGGCCTAGAAGTTAGGATACCTGGATTCTAGCTCTATCTCTGCCATTCGTTTGCTTTGTGACCTTGGGTAAGTCACTTAACTCCTCTGGGTCTGTTTCTAAACTTAGAAAATAATGCGTTTCCACTACATGACTTCTGGGATCTCATTTCACATTCCACGATCATCTGTCTCCCAGGGTTCATTTCTTCCACTCTCCCGGCCCCTGGTGCCCCTACATTGCATGAGCTGCTCACTACCCCACAGTTTGAGGAACTGAACTTACACCAGTCAAAAACAGAGCACATTGACAAGAGTTTTGGTGGAGATGTCTGATTCCATTGTTGCTCCAAAGGGTAGTGAAAAGGCAGCAAGAAGATTCTGGTCTCTGTTGGAACCTGTGTTTGGTTCTCTGTCTTCTCATCATCCACCTACTGAGTACCTGATCATTGCTGTGCATGATAAAGAGGAAGAATCATCATCTGACCTGTATTGAAAAGTAGATAATAATATTGTCCTAGAGTGAGTCTAAACTCTGCCCTGATAAGGCGGTTTCTACCACCTTTTCAACCTATAACATCTTCCGTTTCCTGATTTGAGCACCAGACTTGGATTTGTCAAGACATGGCCTTCCGCAAGATTGGCATTTCTTTTTTTGAACAGGTACTGATTAAGCCCACAGCACTCGGGAGACGAGCATGGAGAAAGGACCACCAAACAGTTAGAAAGATGACAGCAGCCAATGACTATAGGTGTCCCAGCCCATTTAAAACTGAAATACAAAAGCTAAAATTCATGCAAAACTAAAATCACCGTAAGAAATCTTTCTGCATATGTAAGAGTCTGCATTTTCAGCCGCGGAATATTCATTCAGCTTTTATGCATCAAATTATGCACATACCAATGATTCTCTAATTTATGGATGCTTCCTATTAGGTTGTCTTTAAATGAGTTCCTTCCAAAAGGAACCAGGTTCTGTTCTGAAGAAATGAATAAACCACATGGGCTGAACTTTTCTACAACTGATTTTCAATGTGGAGTTTTCAGGGTGTAATTTAGACATAGCTGTGGTGGTTTGCCACCATAGAAAGTGTAGGTGTGTAGGTAGGGGCTTCATGGATGAACTTGTGAATGACTGGAAGCCAGAGGGCGGAGGGTGAGATCGACAGTGGGGATTTCAGCTCAGTTTCACATGTCTACCTTAAGGCATTAGATGCTGCTAATTCTTCAAAAGTCGAAGATTTGTTTTACAGAAGAAATTCTGATTTGATTAAGATATTGCTTCCAGACCTAATGTTCCTTTAGCAAATCATGCCTACATCCATGATTGGAAATAAACTGCATGTTATCTAAGCATAAAAAAGCCACATGATTTGGAACTATTCTACAGAAGTAACATTTAGTGTAATTACAGTACATTTAGATTAATTATAGCACTGGTTCCGGGCGCCACCATACTTAAGGTTGTATCAGCATTTTCGTTATTAACCCTGTGTAGAAGAAGTTTATCCTCTGGCTGCTTATTTTTCCCTCTGGAAAATATTTCCGTTCTATATTGGGCTAGATCAAAATTGAATGGCCTTTCTACTTTTAGGGTAACTTTAAAAAGATATGATTTCAGAGGGATATTCTGGTTAAGATTGCTGTTTCTGTGTGGAATCTCAAAATAGGCAGAGATTAATTTTCACAAAGTGGAAATGGTCACGATGTTTAGTTAGGAAATCGAGTTACTATAAATGGCTCTTGCCTCCCTTTCGTAGGCTTTATAATGTTGACCAGAAAGTAGAAAGTGGCTAATATTTAACTGCCGTGTCCGGAACGTACCCACCCAACCTGAGTTTGGCTCCATTCAGAGTGACCTCCTCGAGAGGCACGGCCTTATTTCAACAGGACTGCCCCACAGGGTGGGGAACACTGGGCAGTTTCGTCTTTGTGAGTGGCCTTTGGAATCTGTGCCTTGTTCTTTTTGAATATCATTATAGGCCTCAGATTTTCATTTCTTGATAGCAACGGTGATTTTTTTCTGAAACAACCAAAAGTAATTTGGAGCCAGATTTGGCGAGTAAGGAGGCTGATAAGGTCGAATACACATTTTACTAAAAAATGAGCTGTGGCTCTAAAATAATGAGCCTCATTTTCATGCATGGTTCATAACTATAGCTGAAGGTAATTCCCTCAGAGGAATTCCAAAGTCGGTCGAGCACTGCCTGTCTCCTTGCAAACAGTGGATAGTTTCCTCATGGTGCTGCTTCGAAGGTGCTGGCATTCATTTGAATGTCAAATGTCTGCTAGTTTGTTACATGAAGAGTCTCATTATTCAATGGTTCTACTCCACATAAACAAAAGGAGGCTTCTTAAAAATTCTAAGTAATTGACTGTAATAACACTAAAAATTGTTCTGACCTGTCGTACATGTTAAAAACATTTCCTAAAAGATATCTTTCTATAAATGGATGCAAATATTCTCAGAAATATTTGTTAGTAATAATAGCTAGCATTTTGCTGAAGATTTACCATGAGTCAGGCAGCGTGTGTTCTCTGCTTTAACTCATTCACCCATGATTTTTTGAAAACCTCAGACAGCCATCTTTTCCAATGGTGCCAGTTATGTTCACAGCGACATTAAGTAACTTGCCCAAGGTCCAGGGCTTGTCAAGGGCTGAGCTGGAATTTGAACTCAGGCCGATCTGATGTTTTCCCCCACCCAGTGCTTCGCTTCTTTTGATAGACTTGTGCAGTGTGGGTAGAGCCCCATGGTTTACTTGTTCCCAGCATTCAGCTGTTCTCTTGGAGGATGAAGGCAAACATAAGGAGTGTTCAGGCAAGTTTTACAGAGCAAGTTATATTAAATGAACCAAAGAATCAGGGCAGAAGCAGTGGATCTTTCAAACCCTCACTCGGTTTGATTTTTCTTTCGCCCTGCTAGGTTATATTTTACCTTTTCCTGGTAGAGTCATGCAGGCGAGTAGCTCTTATCAGAAACAAATGAGACCATAAATCCAGACTAAAATCAATGAGGTTATGAGGTCTAAGAGTGAGAGGCAGTTTCGTGGGCCTAAGTGTTTTCCCTGCTCACCATGGTGCATCTTTGAAGCTAGAAGCCGGAGGCTTGGGTGTTGTTCCACACACAGTTCTCTCATTTGCAGACCTATATATAGCTGCTCTGTCACCACGCTGGATTCCCAATACCATCTTCCCCTTTTAAACAAGAGGAATATTTAGAAGAGATAATAGAGAGCACATATGCTCTCATGTCTGACTCCCAACATATAAGAAAAGAAACGGAAAAGGATGTGCCAAACAAAACCACCTCTTGGTAATAACGCTGTAATCTAAAAATTATAGCCTGGAATTCTTGGAAATGGCTCCATCCCCCCTCTTGGGGAGACTGGCACCAGCTCTTTAGCTTTACTCAGCTAAAGGGAACTTATTTGCCAGTGCCAAATGCATTAATTTAGTAAAGGGGAGGAAAATAGCAATGGATGCCATTCAGCTCTCTGATGACTGGGGATGGCCATTTTCAGAAACACTGACTCCACTTAGAGGAAACCCATTAACAGACGCTGGGAATCCCGAGCGCCGGTAGGCCAGGGAGCCGGTTTTCAGGCGCTGTGTGCTTCCATTCGCAGATCTTGGTGCCTTCACTCTGCTAAATAATGGAGGGGAAAGGGGAGTGACCACTGCGGTTTCCGCTCTGAGAAGTCACGTTCAACCCTGTCATTTTTTAGGGAATGTGGAGAAAGCTAGTTTGGCAGTTTGAGTTGGTCTGTTCCAGTTGACTGGGTGGGAAAATGGGCGGATTTTCTACTCCCTCATCACACCGATTGCTTGGCTTAGGGAGGGGCCATGACTAGGGTGAGGCAGGTGAAGCGCTGGGCCCAGCACAGCATGTTAGGTGGCACCAAAAACTCAATAATTGAGATAAATAATATTTTAATGTGGTATTTGTAAAAAATCAAAATTAATGTAAAAAATCCATAACGAACAAAAGATCTAATTTTTAAATAAAGACAGGATCAGCAACGGTGCTGTTCTGAGCCACATTGGAGCCTGAGGCAAAAGGAAAAAATATTGCATTAATTTTGATTTTTAAAAAAATATTGCTTTTGGGGGCCGGCCCTGTGGCCGAGTGGTTGAGTTGGCGCGGTCCACTGTGGCGGCTCAGGGTTTCGCCGGTTCAGATCCTGGGTGCGGACATGACACCACCGCTCCTCAGGCCATGTTGAGGAAGCATCCCACGTGCCAAGACTAGAAGGACCTGTGACTAAGATATACAACTGTGTACGGTGAGGCGGGGGGGGGGGGGGTTGGGGAGATAAAGCACAAAAAACAAAGAAGATTGGCAACAGTTGTTAGCTCAGATGCCAATCAAAAAAATATATATTGCTTTAAAATTCCGTTCATCTTGCTGGCTGAGTTTTTTGGGCACCTTCTGGTCTCCCTGAAAGCCCAACTCTGATGCCATCTCTCACTAGTTGTCCCTGATTTCTCTCCCTCCCCCTCCTCTGGCTTGCTTCTCAGTCAGAATGTATTTTACCTCTGGGCTTCCACAGCCCTTGCTGCAGATCTGACAGCATTTGCAGTGGTAGACCGTAATTATTTGTTTGCAGTATCTGCCTCTTTCAGAAGACTATGGCTTCCTTAAGGATAAAAACCATGTCTTATGCTCTTTGTATCCACTATGCCAACCAGACATTCAGTAGGTACTCAAAAAATATTTGCTGGTTGTTGAAAACAACAAATGAGTGAATGAATGAGTTCAATGAATAAGTGAAAATAAGCTTTGCGTCTTTAGTGCTTTATTAGCGAGTTGATCTTTCCCACAGATATTCCTGACTATAACCGTGGGTCATTTTGGACCCTCTCTTTGGGAAATCGAAGTCCCATGGAGAGAACTGGTTCTAGAGAACTTTCCTTTCTGAGGATCAAGCAGGGAGTAAGGTTTGAGAAATGGGCAAAAACAAAGTCCACTTCATGAACCCGTCCCAGCTCCCACTTCATTTCACAGCCTGCGGAAAACTCAAGAACGAGTCAGTCCCGGCTCGGCGCAGCCTCAGAGCAGAGCAGTGTTGTTCTGAAGAGGGCCAGCCTGCAGTCGGTGCTTCAGGGAGCCCTGCCTGGCCCCCTTCTGCGGCCTGGGCCCTCACCCTGGCTCCGCCTCAGGATCGGGGCTAGGGGTGCTTTCCCAGGGTGCCGCTCAACCGTGCCCACCCCACCCCCAGTGAACCAGAATCTCTAGGGGCCATCACCCTGATCCTGAAGGGCCACGGGGAACACTCCGGAACACTTAGGAATCTAGCCTGAGGGTTCTGTGCGGTCCAGCTCTTTGGGGGCTGCTTTACTTGTTTTGAGAGCCACATTCTCTTATGTATTTGTGTGTTGGCGGCTCAGTGGTGAATTGGCCTTACCTGCAATAGTTCATCCTGTGGCACCCTACCAAAAGAAACCAAAAACAGGTGGGGCAAGTTATACAATATTCACGATCACTTCACATCAGAGGTGCAAAAGTCAGTATTGGAATGACCCCTTGCACGTGGAACTCATATGATTAAGATTAAGAGTCCATGAGTTCTAATGCTAGCTGCAGGACATTGGGAAATTATTGAACCTACTTATGGGGAAACGTTAGTGAAAGTGGTGAGTTCCCCAGCCAGCACCATTGTTACTTTTTTAGCAATTTAACATGACAGAGTAGTGCCAACATGTGACAGCTTGGCTCTGTCTACCTGAGTTGAATGACTCGTCTCACTGATTTCTTTTTTAACCACATTTAATCGGTTGGCAGGTTGCTTTCGCATCGTGTAGCCACAGCCCGTGCTGTCCTGGGAGCTGTGTGTTGATGTATTGTTAAGAAGCCATGGTTGAATGGTGAGTCAAAGTCATGCAACAGTATAATACAAGCCCATGGAAACAACTCAGACCTTGCTGCTCAGTCTTGCCAAGTCGCTCAGGAAAGCAGCACCTTCCACATCTCCCCTTGGCCCTTTGCCTCCTGCAAGCAACTCTCAGAAAGATCCCAAACCTTACTTACCTCCACAGGTAGCAAGCCATCAACGGGCCTTAGTCCTGTCCCCTCGCTTAGGGAGTCAAGAAAACCATCTGTTTTGCCGTGCTTCCCTCCCTGCCCAAAGCCCTATGGCAACTGAGGCTACAGACCTCGGCCAACTCAAACATTCTGGAAAAACAAACCTGAAAAAAAGTGCCTTCGGGTTGAAGGTGATTCTATCCATATTCCTAAGAAAAGTAGATGTCACTCTTCCTCCCATCTCTCCTCTCTTTCTCATCTTTTCCTCCTTCTGTCCTTTTCCGCCCTTTCTGCCTCTTGCAAGGGGCCTGCTGAATGGTAGGCCCTGAGCTAGGTGCTGAGGGCCCAGTAGGGAACCTGGTGCCTGTTTTCACAGAGCTTCCATTCCTAGTTGGAGTGGGCAGACATGAGAAAATCAACAAAGACAGAAACCATCTCATTTTGGGGTGCAGTAATTGATTTGGAGAAAGTAAAATAGGATGATGTGACACAGTTACAGAAGCGGGTGGGACCGACTTAAGCCTGGGTCATCTGAGAAGGTCCTGTTTGAGCTGAGACCTGAATGATGAGAAGAAGCTGGTCAAGTGAGGATCTTGGGGAAGCTGTTCGAGGAGATAGCGCAATTACACGAGGCCCTGAGGCAGGGACATGCTTGGCTTGTGCAAGGAACAAAATGAGCCTTGATCAGTGGAGTAACCTTATGGAGGATGAGGTCAGGGAGGTAGGCAAGGTCCAGATCAGTGGGTACTTCAAAGGCTGAGATAAGCAATTTGAATTTTACTCTACCTGCAGTGGGAAGCCATTGGAAGAGAGGAAGCAGGGAAAAAGCATGATCTGGTTTACATGTCAAAAGGGTATTGTGGCTGCTGCATGGAGAACACACTGTAGGGAGGCCAAGAAAAAGGCAGGCGAGGCCAGCTATTGAGGCTGTTGTAGTGGGACAGGTGAGAGATGATGGTGGTATGTGTGGGATGGAGAGAAGTGCACGGATGCAGGAGATATGTTGGAGGTGGAGTCAGCAGGAGTTGCTGATGGATCCAATGTGTGTGGTGGCTAGAGGGTGAGTGAAAGGGAGGAATGGGGCATGCTCTCTCAATTTTTGTATCACGTGGCCAGGGTGACAGTGGTGCCATTTATTATGCTTTATGTTTATGTAACCAAAGAGTCCATTGAGATGATTTTTCCAAAACAAAGGACTAGTCTTTGCCAAAGAACGATTGAAGTTTTATCTTTGGTGAGACAAGAATAAAATAAAACCGTTTGTAGCACGTGAATGGTACCTTTTCCTTTCCGTTCCACACACTCATTTGTAGGCTTTCAAAAGTCTTGGAACTGAATTTCAGCCTGGGCTGTCTCCCCCATGAGAGTGTGAGCTACTTGAGGGTATCCAGGGCACTCTTTCTTATTCCTCTTCGCGCGTCTTGTGTCAATGTCAGTGTCTGGCACGTGACAGGCGTTTGGTAAATGCTTGTTGAAAGGAAGGAAGGAAAGACAATGGACCCACTTTAGAACTTGTCTGCCTTTCATTTCGAATGGGTATCATGAAAATGAAGGGGATATGAAAAGGGAATCAGAACAAGGGGCTCTCTTCAGACTGGGAAGGAAAACTCAGTGTACCCAGGAGGGAAAAATATAATAGAACAAAACAACAAGCACACTGTAAATAGTTCCTCCCTCACTGTGGAAAGATGGCACTTACCTGACCGTCTGGCAATCCAGTGTGTGGGACGAAATTTCAACTCCAGTTCATCATTTGAATTCAATCCCGGATAGATTTTCAATATATATTTTGTACATGTCTAAGACACTTAGGATGACAGATATACTATCATTAGACTATATTCAGTAACTAATAAAGAAATTATTAAGAAAGGGAAGTCCAAAATGCCTATGTAATTATGGAGGAGCTGCCTCATTCATTTGATGCAATCAAGGCAATGAACTGTCTGGAAGAAAGCTATTTTCCTCCAAAGCATTTGGTAGCTCCTTCTTGATTAGAGACAAAAGCATCCACGTGACTCAGCACGCTATTTTGGAGGCATCTTGACGTGGTCTCACCTGCCTTTTCCACCCCTCCTTCTGCTCTGCCGTTTTACATCATTGCACATTCTCAATCACCTATTCTTCATTTCTTCATTCCTCTTCTGTGCCTTTCCTCTTGCTCTTCCGATGGTCAGTAAGACATCTCTGTTCCCCCCCATCTCCTATAGCCTAATTATCCTTCAGTGTTCAGCTCAAGGGCAACCTCCTCCAAGCAGCCTTCCTGTATTTCCCTAGGCTGACTTTATACTTTCCTCTGGTTCATGTTATGTTCATTTTTTATGGCCGTTTCATACAACTACCCTGTACCGATCTTCCACTGTCCCTAGATAGTGCATTCCACAAAGCAATGCTCAATAGAGGTTTAGTGCATGCCTAAGTGGAATTGCAATAATATCATGAGCCCTTTTCTCATCCTCTTCCTCTGCGTCAGAAGGAGGATATGTGAAGAGTTGGCTGCTCTCTACTCTGCTCTTTACAGCAGGTCGAAACAGATGCAAGCTCTGATACATTATGCAGAACTGAAATGAAGAGGAAAGAGCGTGGATGCTTGTTATCAGTAGAATCGTGGGCATGATGGGGGCACATTATTCTAATGACCCGACAGTTAGTCTCAACCCAGGAATCTGGCATTGCTTGGCTTTGTGACTACAGCCCGTACTTCACCATAGTATATAGTCGAATACTTGAATATTTCTGTGTGCGTGGAAGAGCATTATGTTCATCTCTCGTTTCTTAATATATGCATGATAAGAACAAATTCTGTATCCCCTGTATTTTATTTTCTTAGGTTGTAAAAAATCCTGACTTCTTTCAAGCACTTTACTCAATATTCCTCCCAAAGGCATCAACAGCAAAAATTTATGAGTATTTTTATTAGGTATGATTTGGTTTTTATTCCTAGGAAACAGAGCTAGAAAAATTTTAAGGTCATTAGCCATAATAATTTTAAATACATAGTTGTTTGGATATGTTAGTTTTAGCTTTTGGGTTCACTGCTATGTTTAGCTTTTTTCATTTTAAGTTAATAATGATAAAAATAAATCTCATATTTATTAGCTTTTTTCATCCTAAGGTGCTTATCAAACCTTAGGGGTGTGAATATAATGTAGTAATCCATATGCTTACTCATAGGTTTATGGCTCTGAGCATTTGATTACAATTATTTCTATTTCACTGAAATTGTTCACAACCAACAGAAGGATTGGGTCCAAAGTTACTGCAAAAGTACAGGTAGAAACTCTTGTCAACACAGTTAACATGTCTTTGAAGATAGCATGTTAACACAGAACTCCATATTTTTAAACTCTAAAATATAGCTTTATTCCTATTTTCCCTTCTTCCAACAACCATTTGTTGCGTAACAACTTTGTGCTGGGTTCAGAGCTCAACCCTGGAGATAAAAAAGATGAACAAGGCTGTCAGAAGTATATATGTGTAGATATGGATGTGTATATATATTCAGTAAGGTACGTAGATACACACACCTACATATTTATACATAAATATGTATAAAAGTATATGTCAGTTAGAAGTACATTGTCAGATGTGTGCATATCCTAAGCCTTCATTTCCTGAATGTTTACTCTCTGCCAAGCACTGTGCCAGAGTTTACATGCATTATCTCATTTAATATTTACCACAACTTCATGAGTTATGATTATCCCCATTTCACAGATAAGCAAACCAAGACTCAGAAATATAATTCGATTAGCCTAAGGGTATCTGCTAATAGGTGGTACAATCACAGTTCAAGCCCCAAGTGTCTGACTTCCAAGCTCATGCTCTTTACTACCGTACATTTGTATATAAGTGTCTCTTGTTTAACCAGACACCAACTTTGTCCTAGAAGTTCAGATTCAGAATCAAAGAAAAAAGAATAAGTATGAAAATGGTTGCATGAATAGCAAAACCGGATCGTCATCAACACCAAGGATGTGTTTGTTTTATTGTATACACGCTTTGGGAGTAGAGAGTCAGTCCTCAGACTCTGGTGCTCAGTCTGTATTTGATTCAGAACATGAAATACAGCATTTCACTGACAGTTGCATTCCCTGTCTCCCCAGCTGAAGACCACCTTATGGGTGAATTACTTTATTGTGTGGTCCTTTAGACATCTTGGTAGCTAAGAAAGAACTTCCTTACTTACAGTGTTTTCAAACACCAGATGAGCCACCAAGGAAGTCTGTGAGGCCCCCATCCTTAAGAATCTCCAGATAGAGAAAACCTTTTGTCCTGAAGAGCTGAGCCATTCACCTCTCAAGATCTCTGACAGTCCTGTGATTTTGCAAAATATGCACAAGTTTCAAGTTAGTTTCACCTGAAGTCGAACCCTGCTCTGTAGCTCTTTATAAGCAAGGTGCCAGCACACCCAGGCGTCTGCGGTCCCTTAGACTAGGTTAGACTCCCTCGTAGACTCTCGATACCTTTTTTTTTTTTTTTTTGCTTCGTAGCATTTCTTGTGATTCTAGTTCTTTGTGTGATTGTTTGTTTAATGCCTGTCCCCCGTGCTAGACTGTGAATTCCAGATGAACAGGGACTGTGTCTGTTGCTCAGTACTGCACCTTACCTGCAGTGCTTAAAACTCCGTGACTGGCACATAGTTGGCACTCAATTAATATTTATTGAGGCAGGAATAAATGAATGGAATCTGATAGGAGACTAGACATGTGCAGGCATGTAGCGGATTTAGTCTTGATTTATGCCACAGAGATTCCCAGTCTCAGTTTTTAAGCACAGCCCTAATTCAATACCTCTTTCATGACCTAACAGCTCTGGGGGTTTTATGTGACGGAGGGCAAGTCTGTTTGCTTGGTGATTACAAGAGGACGGTTACAATGTTTACTAGCCTTAGCTACTTCTGAGCAAATGTGGTCCCTGGAGAAGGGCACACAATAATAAAGCAGGGAAACCCAGCCGTTATCTCAAAGCAAAGCCACACAGGCATCAAGGTCGTGACTCACGTTTCTGTGGTCAGGAGCTCTGGACTTCTCAAGGATAATTTATGGTGACACCGATGAGGCAGAGTTCATTTAAATACTGTAACTGCTGAAGTGTTCCGAAGTGAAAAAAGTCAGCTTGTGGTTGAGCAAATACCTTGTTGACCCCTTTTCAGTCTCTGGTATACCATTGTTTCAGGTATTTACTCTAAAATGCTTGAGTTCTGAAGTGACCCAGGAGAGATGAACTGACCATGGCTGCTTAATGTACGTAGGATTTGGTTTCTGAAAACGAAGCACATGCTCATCTTTACTCAGCCCATTGTTCTTTGATCGGTTAAATGACGCTCTAAATGGAGGACTGCGATAGCAAAAAATAAATGTTTTATACAGTGCTAGAAAAAGCTTTAGGGGAAAATTTTAGCAAAGGAACAGATTCTTTCTTGTTTCTATAGAAACCAGTAGCGATCAGGAGGAGTGAGGTGTTCTTTCAAGTGTACACAGTAGTAAGGCCAGCTCAGCAGTCCCCAGCACCCTGGAGGGCCGGTGTAAAGACCCACTAGCTGGGGGAGTGCCTCTGTCTGTGTCCCTTTGATCTCACTGGGAGAGGGGGACATCTTACTGGAAATCCTGGCTTCTTCATGGGGTGAGTAGGGCTGCAGTCCACAGTCGATCAGCATCATAGAACCAGAAAGGCTCTTAAGAGGAATCTCTTGTCGAAAGAGGAAGAAAAAGATAAACATAAGGAAAGCTTTAATATCAGCTGTCAACAGGCCTTTAAACGTGCTCCTTACCATTGGGCAGTAAATGTCCTGGCCGTGTCCTGACTAGATCAGTGATAAACTGGCCGAGGCAAGCATTCAAGCCATTGGGTGCTAGAGCAATTTGTTGCCCTTCCAATTTGTCTGCTTCCATAAAATCTTCTTTTGAATGAAAGTAGAATTAAATGTCTCCTTTGTACTTTCATTTGTAAAGCTGTTGTTACATTCTTGACAAGTGAATGTGGGGCAAGACTTAAATCAGATTCCAAGGCAAATACTTTTCTAAAGCCAAATCAATACTACAGCTTTAAAATGATTTCTCCAGTCTTTTAAATGAAGTTTAGGTCAAATGTAATGACAGGATGAAGCAGGCGCGTTTTGCTTCAATCTGACATGTCCCAGAAGGTAAGAGGAATATCTAGTAACTGACAAAAGGCTTTTCCCTTTGCTTGACATTTACTTTGTATGTAAACAATCCAGTATATTGGCATGTCAATGTATTAGTTGGTGGTGGTCCAAAACATGATGTGAATTTAGATAGTATTTCTTTCTGCTCACAAATACACACTCTTGATCAAGAGAACATTTATTGCAGTCTTGCCTTGCAGTTGGCAGAGAAGAATGAATCATTTTGAAATATAAACTTCCTCAGATGTAAAATATATCACAAGAAAACACAAGACGTAAGTGGAATGGATTATGAAATAAAAAGAACATATTTAGTAGTCTATAGGGTTATAAACACTATAGATTGTTATTAATAAAATACCAGGGCAAACGTATAAGCCTACATTTAGTGAGCAGGGGTTACAACCTATGTGACTTCTTTGAGGCTGTACTTTGGAGGCAGCATTTTGCAATGTAGAAGGGTATGAAGTGGCTTCTTACTGGCTGTGTGGCCTCAGGTAAGTGACTTCCCCTCTCTGAACTTCAGTTTCCTCTTCTGTAGGGTGATAATAATACAAATAATGGTGATGGTGATGATAATGAGGAGGAGGAGGAGGGGGGCAAATGTCCCTTTCATAGGATTGCTGTAAGGTTTAAATAAGAGAATTCTAGAAAACTCTGCACATAGGAGGTGTACAGTGTATGTCATGTTACTTTCCCCCTTCCTTCAAAATAACTATATTAGTACTGAACATTTCTCTTCTACCAAACTTTCAGCTGTCATCTTCCTGCTATTAAATGAGAACTAAAGTTTTGCTAATATATACTTTGCAGAAAAATAAACAAACTTCCCTAAATGAGAAACATACATGGAATGAGAAATATCTGTATTTTCTAGACACCATTTATTTCAACTTCTTTTTCCCTGGGAGTAAAGTTAGGATGCAAAATGTATCAAGTGCTTCTGTGAATTTAAAATTAATAAACCATCAGATTTTCTATGACAGACCCAAAGCTTTTCTGGAGAACTCTGTGTGTTTGACCTCTGGGACTGAAGTCACAGTATCAGCTCCTTCTGACATTAGTATTCATAAGCTCTTCCTAGAATGGATGAGTCTTGGTTGACTAGCACACATATGATGGCAGCTCAGTAATTATTTGTCGAATGAATAAATGACAATAGTATGAAATACAACTAAAAGTGTAATGCTTACCAAATTTCAATAAATTTGTTTTGATGATTTTTTCTCCCACACAATCATGTGCATTATCAGCCCACGTGCAGTGTATGAAAAAGGGATAGGTGTAGGTAAAATGGAAAGAATCCTTGTCTCTGTTTTACTGGCCTCCTTGATATATACCAAGATCTTCTACTTACTTAATTGATTGTATTGGCATTTAACTTAATGTTGACTGGATCCGGATGCAGACTATTTACAGTTTCTACCAACCCAAAGTGCCCAGCACATGTTTGTCAAGGTGATCTGTAATCTCCAAAGTCATTATCATCATCATTTAGCCACTTTTGAACCCCACTAGTTGCATAGCATCACAACATCTGCATAGTTATAGTCCCTCAATATGCTTCTGATGAAATTTCATATCACCCAATAAGACATCTTCATTATTTATAAAGAATGAATTGGGGCTAGGAGGCAGTTATGATTTCTTCACTGATTCCTTGACTTATTTAGCTCACAAACTCGTCAGTTTTACCCAGACAACCATTACTCTTCCTTTATTACACACCATACACACAGCCAGAATACAACTTGAAGTCTCCTAATATTTAGTAAAGTAAAAATGTGCATCTTCAGAGAAGAAATGTGGAATGTACCCTGTGTATTGTTCCTGTGCATTTCAAAGATGATGCTACTGACCATGCTGAAGGTCTGAGCATGCAGATGTGACTAGAAGGGCCAGTGTAGGACATGACAACCCTTGCACCCGAGATACCAAAATTTCTCCCTGTGCATAGTGCCTGGAGTTGTGTATTAGTTTCCAAAGGCTGCCGTGACAAAATACCACAAACTGTGTGCCTTAGCACAAGAGGAACGTGTTGTCTCTCATTCTGGAGGCTAGCAGTTTGAAATCAAGGTGTTGGCATGGCCATGCTTCCTCTGAAGGCACTAGGGAAAGAGCTTCTGGTAGCCTCAGATGTTCCTTGCTTTGTAGATGCATCACTCCGCTCCTGTGTCTTTCACATGACCATCTTCTTCCTGTGTCTTCCCGTGGATTTCCCTCTGTGCGTGCCTATCTCTGTGTCTAAATTTCCCCTGTTTATAAGGATGCTAGTCATATTGGATTAAGAGTATACCCTAAGAACTTATCGTAACTTGAGTATCTCTGTAAAGATCCTGTTTCCAAATAAGGTCACGTCCTGAAGTACCAGGAGTTAGGACTCCAACATATCTTTTTTGGGGAAGACACAATTCAACCCATAACAATCTGTCATCCCAAAAGTTTGTTATTTGCAGCTGTGCCTCTGACACTTGTGGTCCAACTGAAGCTTTAGCTCAAAAAAGCAACTCCAGTCTTTGGAGCTGCTTGCTGGGCAAGCCTGTCGACTGCTAAATTGTTGCCCAGGGCCTGCTGTTAGGCCACTTGACCTGAGGCCTTGCTTCTGTGGATCCTTGAAAATAGACATAACTACCATACCTGATTGGCTACTGTAGCATTACTTTCCAAATATTCAGGAATACAGGTTTGTCTCTAATTCATCCGAGATTGCCCTCCACCCTGCCCCCAATGCAGTTAGTCTAGGTTGGTAAGTTTAACTGGATCTGAACGGTATCAAGAAAATTTAAAATTCGGGGCAAATTTAATTTAAAAGGGAAACCAGAAGGCAAAGCAGTCTTGGAGTGTAAAGTAAAAGGTAGTATTGATTAAAGGGAGGATTTCCAGAAGTCTTGCAGCTACACTGTATTCCTATGGGAAAACCTACTGACCCAAATCTTCTTGTCAAATAATGGCAATTTAAAACAAAACACTGAGTTCACTTGCTCGAAGGCAGGCCTTCGCAATGCAGCATTATCATTTTAAAGCTACTAAAAGCTTTCTGGGAAGTTTGAGAAGGTTCACTGTCCTAAGGACAGATGGAGATCTGGTAAAATATTTATGGTCCAGTCTAAGTAAGGATCAGCACAGGGTCAGAGGGCGAGTGCTCGTAGGACTAATATCTCTATCTCCATCTATATTTAGAAAGCACTTTCTAGAAATTATGAAAAAATTATTCAGCCTGAGGAATTAGCAATTATTTTTCTTAAAAATTGATAGGGAGCTTCAAAGGACACCATCAAGACAGTGAAAAGACATCCCATGGAATGGGAGAAAATATTTGCAAGTCATGTATCTGATAAAGTATTAGTATTCAGAATATACAAAGAACTGATACAGCTTAATAACCAAAAGAGAAATGACCCAATTAAAAGTGAGTGAAACCTCTGAATAGACATTTTTCCAAAGAAGATACACAAAGGACCGATGATTATGTGAAAATGTGTTCAACATCCTTAGCCATCATGGAAATACAATTCAAAACCACAATGAAGAACCACTTCACACACACTAGGATGGCTATACTCAAAAATATAGACAGGATCAGCCCCAGTGGCCTAGTGGTTAAGTTCCATGTGCTCCACTTCAGCAGCCTGGGTTTGGTTCCCTTGGCACACACCTATACCAGTCATCTGTCAGTGGCCATGCTGTGGCAGTGGCTCACACACAAAATAGAGGAATGTTGGCAATATATGTTATCTCAGGGTGAATCTTCCTCGGCAAAAAAAAAAGGTAGACAATAACAAGTGTTGGTAACAGTGTGGAGAAATTGGAATCCATATATATTGCTGGTGGTAACGTAAAATGGTGCAGCCAATGTGAAAACCATTTAGTGGTTCTCAAAAAGTTAAACATAGAGTTACCATATGATCCAGCAGTTCCACTCCTAAGTATGTGTGTAAGAGAATTTAAAACGTATGTCCACACAGAAATTTGTACACAAATGTGTATAAAAGCATTATTCATGATAGCCAAAAAGTGGAAACAACCCAAATGTCCACCAACTGATGGATGGATATACAAAATATGGTTTATCCATACAATGGGATATTATTCAGCCACAAAAAGGAATGAAGCAATGATACCTAATACATCAAGGATGAACCCTGAAAATATGCTGAGGGAAAGAAGGCAGACCCAGGAGTCATATATTGTACAATTCTATTTAAATAAAATAATCCGAATAGGTAAATTCATGGAGGGGATGCCAGGAGCTGGGGGGAGGGCAGACTGGAGAGCAACTGCTAATAGTTTCAGGAATTCTTTTTGGGGTGATGAAAATGTTCTGGAATTAGACAGTGGTGTTGATTACACATCTCTGTGAATATACAAGAACCACTGAATTATATACTTTAAAATGGTGAATTGTATTTATATGAATTATATCTCAGTACGAAAAAAGTTTCACTCACTAGCTTTCACATTCATTGATGATTCATTAAAGCAGTAACCAGATCCATGGTTTACAACTTAGTCCAACAAAATTCTTTCCGGGGAGGAGGATTTTATCACTGGCACTTCGAATTGCTGCTGCATGGTGAAAATAAATAGCAGACTTAAAAAATTGTTAGGTAAATTACATTGGAATACATTAATCACTCTATTTAGGCAAGAATCACCGAGCTTTCAGAAAAAGATACACAGAAAGGTTTCCGTGTTGGGCCAGTGAGCAGTGACAGTCCACACTCAGTAGTTGGCTGGCTTTCCAGTTGGAAGATCAGCCAGTTAGTCTCCTTCCAGCCTCTGGGCCCCTGATCCCCAGCACCTCCACTAGAGGGGGAGCAAGCGAGACAAAGGAGACTTGTGTTGCGCGGTGAGTTCACAGCCTGGGAGAAATACTACGTGGAATGGATAGGAACTTGAAATTCCAGGCTAGCATATAGTTTCCTGTGTGGGTGTCGGTGAAATGCAAGTCGATACTAACCTTGTGCTCTTTAAAATGGTGATAAAGACACAACTTTTGTTCTCAAGAATAGCAAAAAGACAATAAAATTCAAATCTTTTTGTGTTGAACATCAGGGTTATTTTGAATTGCATCTTTCAGAGAAAGCATATGGGGAGGAAAATTAACTTTAATATGAGCAACCATTAAAAACCAACAGCACATTTAAGGTTAACGTCTTTCTTATTTCCACACATGGGGACCTGCAGTGTTTTTTGCAGTCCTGGAAACAAGTTCGGGTTAAATAATGTGGTTATTTACCATTTCTTCCTCCAGAAAGTGAAGCTAAAAGATGTGGAGAAAAGGGAACATTTTGTATATTTGAGGAAAAAGAAAAATCATAATTTAACAATAAAGTTAGTATTAGCTGTCATGTTCTGATCCGACAATTGAAACTAAGAATGTGTGGGAAATTTTCATTTCTGAGGCTCCCAACTGAAAAGCTTAAAGCTGGATTTTTTTATCCTTAGCCTCGAGTACTCTGCCTTGATAAGGAGGAGACAAAGGATAACAATCTTTTAAGAGAATAAATATAGAGGTTATTTGGGAGGGATAGTACAGATTTAGCCCAATCTATATTTCCCCCAGCAGCATCAGGGTTTATGATGACCTGAATCATCCAAAGAAAGAGAAAATGGTGTTCAGTAAGGATTTCGCAACAACTGGATTTTATCATTGTCTGACTCCTGAAAATTGGTAACCCTTGTCTGTTGCGTACTGATGGTTCATGAAAATATTCAGTGATCTGCAACAGCTCGCTCATTCTGCATGATATATCGTCGATTCTCACCAATCTATGAAGCAATTTTCTGATATGTAGATTGCTTCCAGCCCTGCTGCCCTGGTGACCAAGCGGAGGGTTGAGGCTTTGTGAATGGATCTGACTGAATAGCCCTGTAAGTGTTGGTGTTGACAAAGCCAAAGTTAGTGGATTCTTCATTATGATTCATGGCCTCTTGTAGGCTGCAGCACAGCAGACTGAGCCCTAACCACAGCTCTGGGTCTAGTTGCTTTGATCCTAGTCAGTGACCTGGAAATCTCTCTTAATAGGCACACACAGATTCGTTCTGGAGGATGGCAACTTGTTTCTTCTTGTTTGGGTCAAACTGTTCCCCGGGAGGGGATGTGACTCAGGATGTTGCAGGGGATATCCCCGCAGGGGACAGTGGATGAATTGGTGGTGCTCTGTTAAGGTGACTGTACAATTAGGGAATAGGTGGCTTTGGCCTTAGCTTTTACCCACCTGCTAATATTGAATACTAATAACTACCATTTGCTGGTACTGGACCATGCCTTTTACTTACCTTGTCGTTGAATCCTCAGTAAAAAGCTAAGAAGTGCACATTATTATTTCCATTTTATAGATGATGAAACTGAGAGTCTGCAAAGCCCTTACGGCTAGTACCATGACCTGCCTCTGTTGGGATAGTGTGCAGATTCATAAATACATGCCAGTGGGCTGGTGTGTGTGTGTGTGTGTGTGTGTGTGTGACAGGTACCTGCGCACCACGCCTGGGACATGAGACTCCCTCAGTAAACGAGAGCCATACTTCTTTTGTCTCACACAGCACTATTTCGCCAATGCCTAACAGGTTCAATAGATAGTAGATGAATTGAATTAAAATCTCACTAAATAGATTTTGCAAGTTGGCTTTCCTTCTATAATTAGCTTTCTGACAATTTGAGTGGTAATTGGTTGATGGAAAGAATAATTAATAATAAAGGTTGTTTATTTGTGGCGTAGGCATTTATCACAGTTTTCACTCCTTTCCATCGGCATTTAATTCACGAAGAGGCTCATAAGTTAACTATAGAGAAATTATATTACTAAATATTGAATAGTAATTATAATACACGATATGTTTTCCCTTTAATTAGCAAATAGACTGTTCATTATGTTTTAGATAATTGTTACGTATCATTTGATTTCATTTCTTTATCATTTGTGGCAGGTGATTACATTTCCACAGGGTATAATTTTTTATCACATTATTTTGAAATTTGATTGCAAGATTATGCAGTACAGAATTCAGTGTATTCAAATCACCCTGAATTCTCTCACATTCTTTGCTTCTGGAAAATCTGCACTTCTTTTTTCCTCCCTGTGTGTGCATGATAAATAAGAATTCAGTATTAATGAAGCCCAATAATTGTGTAAATCTCTCTAAATGCCCCAAATCAGAGACTTCGGAATTTGAACTTGGAAACTCCTACTTGTGTCCCATTGCAATACCCATCTCTTTGAAAATCAGTCTCTTCTTTGCTAATAAATGCAAATAATATATAAATGCAAATAATATAATATAAAATCATATAAGAGCATATATAATAGCATATATTATGTAAGCATGACATAATGTTATGATATATAGCAATATTATAGTAAATACAAGTGAAAATAAATGCAAATGTTCTGTCTAAGCGTCTGTGACCCCTGAAGGAGCTCAAGAGCATGTAGTGATAGCTGCTAGCTTGCCTCTCCCCCATCTTTGAGTAATTGGGCCGATAATGCCCCTCATTGCATTGCTATAGGATTGACACTGCAAGTTTAGCTATGACAGGAAATCAGTAGCGGTGTGTGTGTTGCTTGAATACACTCGGACCTCCCTGCCTCTGCTTTGATAATGTTATTTATGCTGAAAGCGAGATCACAGGCTGCACGAATTATGGTTATTGTGGTATTCAGGCGTCAGCGGATATGGCACCCAGATGCCTAGTCACAATTTGTCTTATTAACTTGATTATCTGATTTCCTACAAGTTCTGCAATGTCTAAATGGCAACCTTTGGGGGAAAAGTTTCATAGAATTAGCTCTGTTCTATGCGAGACAACTGACTTGGTTGAAAATAAGATCCTATCAGAGGAATGAGCAGAGGCTACAATTATATGGTCTTACAAAGATTGTTAAGATATTAAACGTGAAGCAAAACTCTTTCATTCCCTCATTTCATTTTGTTCCAAGGAGTTTAAATAATACTGCTTAATGCTGTCAGGACGATGTCAGGGCTTCAAGGGAATGACTTTCCTATTTAGATTTGGTCCAGCAGTCTGTTTAACAGCTACTCCCTTTATAATGGCATGTTGTGGTTCCCAGCATTCCTTAGGGCATGCAGGGAGAATGGCATGGGCCTCTTGAATAATTAATATGGTTTTCAGAGCAGTAGTCATGGAAACCCAAGCAGTGTCACATATTTGGATTATAAGAATTAGGCACATTTTGAATATTACATTTAACCAAAAAAGGTGGCTATCCCCCAAAGACAAAAGCATTT